AATCAATATTTAAATATAAATAAATATATTTTTAAAATGAACATAAAAAAATGAGGAACAGATTAATTCAAACCCAAGTGAGTTAACGGCAAGTTCATGCCTATTGACAAGTGCTTTCATCAAAAGTACATTGCAGAAAGTATATTACAAAAGAACTAAAATGCCTTTACTACTGGCCTGAAGGCCCCCTCTATCTTTAACCCTGTTTTAAAGAGATATTAGGGCTGCTGTTTCTAGGTACATTCAGCAGAAGCTCCTTTTATCCCTAAACATTAAGAGAAATCAAATGCTTCTATGTGTAACAACTGGCTGAAATATAGAAAAAGTGCACATGATAACAGAAGTGCTTACGTGACTAACAGCAAGGGAACAACTGCCTGCCTAGGTCAGACAATGAACGCATAGGGTGCTGTGTTGAAACTGAATTAAATCGGTGGGATTGCACCATCTGTGCTATCCTAGAACCTTTTCAGTGACTTTAATTTTCAGGGAACTTCACCATGAAAATTTTGTGCCTGCATTCAGAATATTAGTCCGATGACAACAGGATGTGAATTTTTGCTTCTAAATTAATGCATAAAAATTTTTTAGGATTCATCTGAAAAAAAAAAAAAAAAAAGGTGAGATTGATAGTATCAGGTTCAGCTGCATGTAATTTTCCTTTCCATATTATTGGAAAGCATTCTGCATACTGTTTTGTGTATTTTGCACTCTGTCTTAGGGAAGATACCTTTCCACAATGGTTGAAGCAACTCCTGTGAGAATATATTTCTGAACTGTCTCTCTTGGGCACCATATAGTGTAAGTAAAACTTAAGATTCTCCAGTGAAAGACAGTTTAATAAAACACCTTATGGACTAGTAGTGTTAATGAACAATGACAATTGACTATAAAGTGAAGTGAGACAAAATTATATTAGATGAGGAAAAATAACATACATCATCTTTGCTTCAATAGAATCTGTGTATGGACATTAGATGTGGTGAAAGTCCTCCATTACATTTTATTGTGGATACCCATGCATTGGTATTTACCCAGGGAGCAGCCAACTGTTCCAAAATCACACTGCAGCTTCCACCAGCTTGCTATTCTTCACTTACGCCCCAGCACAAAATACATTTAAAACAACTGATACAGAAGCCACCGATAAAAATCTACACATGTGCACAGAATAGATGCAGGTTTGTTCCCTTCCTTTACTACACTTAGAGTCACAGGATACTTGTGAATGAGCTCACTGTGCACATTGCTCTTCAGCCTCTCCAAGCTGACGAATGCTTAGCTAAATCACGGACTGCATGATTGTTCAGAGTAAGACATTTGCCAAATGAGTAGCACGTGAAATGGAGAACTGATCTTAGGGGAAATAACGTGTAAGAGGAGTACTGCTGGTAGAAAACAATTTAAAATATTCATAAGGCTACTGAAGAAGGCGAAACGAAAATTTCATGAGGATGAAGACAAGTGTTCAATGGAGAAAAAAAAACTGTTACTGTTAAGTCAGGTGCTAGAGTGAAAAACATACCAGCTGATTCCACTAAAGACCATGCTTTGTATGTCTTGTTTCAAAAGCGTTGTAAGTTTTTATATTCCCTAAAGGATTTTTGTCTTTGTGTGTGTGTCTGAGGGAAACCAGCAAGCAATTCAGCAGACTGTCATTCTGTGTGCAAGACAAATGTAAGGCTGGAATAACAGATTAGTGCAGGCCATGGAAAAGCCTGCAGCATAGACTTGCTCAGGTCACTCAAATCTCCACCAGCACATTACATACTTGAGGAAAACGAAAATGAATTACCAAGCTAGAAATTACTCACAAGTATGGATTTGGACAGTGATAGTAAGGCTTGTCTTTTTGAAGGGGTAGTGGGGGAAGAAGCACGGAAGTAGCGAATGGAAAAGACGCATTAAGACAGCTATGGTAGGTAAGGGTACCAAAGAGCAACCCCCCAGTCTGGATGGCACAAGTCAGCCCAAGCCCCATGAAAACAGAAGCTGGGAAGAGAACAGTGGGCAGCGACTGCCTCTGAGCTGGAGAGGCATTTGGAAAAAGCAGCAGCAGGCATGCAGCCCCCTGCATGAGAAGTAACCAGTTTTTGCTGAGGAACCTCACCTACATCTGATCTGGTTAGCTGCTGTCATGTTAGCCACCAGAAAAGCTAAACCACAGCTGTGCAGTGGTTGGAACAATGCAGGGCTGTATGCATGGACCAGGAGAACAAAGAACAACCCTGCCAAGTCAGTAGGGATGTTTCTTCCCCCCAGGTTTCCATGAGCCTTGGAGCTGAGCCTTGGAGAGCACATTTGCAAACAGACTCGTAGCACAGGCAACTCTCTACAGCACGTCAGAATCTCAGCATTCCCTATCCTGAAGGATGCTGGCTATTAAAAAGATTTTAAATTTGGACTTTGGAGGTGACAAGACCTCAAAACTCCAATCAGTCGCATGGGGTAAAGCAAATAAATCTTCCTGAAACTGTACTTACTTGGAAAAGAATTGAATTAAAAAGCTGAGATTGCTTATTTTTCATTGCTGACTGACAGACTTTCTTTCATTCCATACTATTATGCGTTTACCACAACAATGTTACTGTTTTTCCTTTAAATTAGGAAGAAAAAAAGTGCATGAAATAACGGACAGAAGACCCACTTCCTTCTTTTCTCTCTCATGTTTCTTGGAAGTCATTTGTATATTTTCTCCCTCTCTCTCTTTTTTTTTTTCTTCTTTTAATCTTTGTGAATTCAAACTTTCAAGTATATAATAAGAAATCCTTGTCCCGCTTCTTGTTGCGGGCAAGTGATTTTATCTGGCACGTACAGTCTCAGAAGGTTAAATCTTTATCTTCAAAGGTGTGACTTCTGTGTGAGCAAGCTCCCATTCCCATTTGAACTGGTGCAGATACAGGACCTACCTCTTAGGAGAAATCTGAAGATTAGAGGAAATACTGCTAATTTAGAGAACATTTGAAGATTGGAAAAATCGTTGTAAAATGATTAATCAATAAGCCTAAATAGAATAAGGTATTTTAATTTAAACCTTTGATCAAGTCTAATTTCATTTTCATCTGCTGGAACTTATGAGTACCTATTAGAAGCTTTTGCATTTTGTGGAATATAATATCCAGAGGCTATGATCAGAAGACCTGGATGCAGGACTGAGAGTCTATTTCCCCTGCTGACACATACTGTTATAGCTCTTCAGATAAAATGTTGTGCAGGAAAAAAGCACTATTTTTAATAACCATGAGAATTAGAAATAAGTTATATTAATAGCTCCCCATCTGTCACAAGGGTAGTAAACCTTAATCAAAATTAGAAGTATGGTTAATTGAGATGCTATCACTCTTTTGCTACTAAATAAAGTTAAAATTTAAAAGATACCCTGAATAAACCCTCAGTTAAATGTCAGAACGTACTTGTGCATCAACACAAAATTTCCAGTATTTGTGTGCAAAAGTCCTTCTCTGCATGCCATCTCCTTAGCCTTCAAAAATAAGCACAAGCAACAAAGCCATGAAACTGTGTGACCCTGAGTCACCTGTGCATTCCGTTAGCCCTTGGAATGTGTTTTGTCAAAACCCTTACAAATGCTAGGATTAAAACCACTGAACTTAAGGTATTAGAGAAAATACACATATTTGCCAAGTTACGGTAACTGCAACAGTTCACCTGAACATGCCAAACAGCCTCTGTGCCCACCAAGTGCATTGCTCTGCTTTCTGCATTGAAGCATTCCTTTGGCATAAAAAGCTTCAAATACTGTGGTGGCAGAAGGCTCAGAGTGATCATATAATTAGCACTGATACCTTTTACATGGTTATTTTACTCTAACAAGGAGGAGTGCAAATGGAAGAGGGCAAAGGAAGAAAATGTGAAACTATAACAATAATTACAAATAAACCAGCACTTCTTGCGAGATCCCAAACTGTGTTTCTTCTCTAATTACTACTAATTAGCATTAAAGGAAATGACTATGAAACGCCAGTTCCAAATGAAAAGAAAAAAGGAGATAAAGGGTACTGGTTTCATTTTTCCTTTGAAAATATATTGATTATTCATTTCTAGTAGCCATTTCTAGACTGACTCAAAAAAGTCAATAATCTTTGGTTTGAAGTAAACCAGAGAAATGTAAGTTTTTCCTCTGCCTTTCCCACTTCACCTCCCCCTCTTGTCTTTAATACCTAATTATATTTATAATTTACCTCCTTCAAATTTAGAAAAACGGTATATGGCTTATCATACATTGAGACATAGCCTACCAGAAAGGGTGGTTATGTTGTGATGTCACTTACTCTCAGCTTTTTCCCAATTCTTATCAGCCCATGAGATATGAAGCACTGAATTAAGGCAGAAAAGCTCACCATGAAACATGCACCAAACAGAAAGCAATCCTATAACAGTTATAGGGTCACAGCAAGAGCGTACACCAGGCTTCTCTTGCCAGCCCAGGCTACTGAAGTGCCAGAGGCACTCCTGTGAGAACCACTCAGCTAATCATGCTTTAAGACACAAAGAAAAAGGCTGCTGACAGCCCAAACAAACCAACGCCCCCAACCACGCTCCCCTTCCAGCAAGAGACAGTGACATTGTCAGCAAAGGAGGAATAATCTCTCCTCTCATACTGCCAGTCCCCTTTGATCTGCTCTCTCATTCAAGACATGGATTTGTAATTACTTACTTATTTTCTGATCCCTTCCTTGTATCTGCTGATTAGGAATTGGGCCCTTGCCTGGCACTTGTGCATCGGTCCATCACAGAATGGTGATGGTGATCTGTGAGGCCATTAATGGGGCCATACACCCAACAATGCCATTGTGACTGTCACTCTGGAAATCTCTGTCAGAGAGTGAAACACTTATCTCGAATAAGTGATGGCATACCACAAATGATGGTGTGATGGGGAGTGGAGAAGTTTTACCAGAATACAGAAGCGTGTTAAAGAATCTTACTCTGAAAAACACTTTGAATCAGAGCCTTGGCTTGTGGTCTAACATGCAACATACCTCTCTGTGGGGCTTTCTTGTTTCCTGGTTCCAAAAAGGAGACACCAAATTCTTGGGAAGGCAGATGTGCAAACACCAAGAGAATTCCAGGTTGATATCAATCCCTCCAGGGTACTTCGCTGAGCTGCAGGTCAATGGGAAGTTTCTTTGTCTTTTTAGCCTTGGAAGTATCAAAACACATTGTTCTTCTGGAAGTGGAAAAAAATGTAGATTTAGTCAGCTAGTGAGAATGAGGACATAAACTGCTGAGATCAAAATGTCAGTACAAGCACTCGATCTGAAATAGAGGGTTCTAATCACTGGAACTGATGGATAAGAAGAGAACCACTTCACATCTGACAAAGCAAAATGTAATTATTATGAAAGCGGTGATAGGGCAGGTAAATGACTTGCCCCCAAATTTAAAAAGTCAAACTTAGTTAATTATACCTCAGCTAATAGAAACAGCAGTGATAAGACTGTTACAGATTGGTGAAAAATTAATGAAGTCTTTAATGAACTTCATGGTAAATTACATAAATCAGAGCTAACTTAATAAAAACCCAGAAGATTTTTAGCAGCGATTAGATTTTCCAGCTGCTGAAAGATAAAGAAAATAACTCTACTAAAACACTCTCTTTTCTGAAAGACTCAGAACAATATAAAAGTAGTGGAAATAGATACTTTTTTTTTTTTGAGTTTTGTTTTTAAATGGTCATTCCCAAAGCCAACCAGAGAGTGTTTGAAACTCCTACATATCAAGTGATGAAGTCACCATTTCTTTTCTGGTGAATGTGAGGAAAGATCTGTGCGTGCTGTGTAAACACATTTATAAAACAATGTGTTTCACACAGTGAAGTTTTTGCTGGACTTGCAAGTAAGAGATAAGCAGACTTTGTAGAATTGTTTGAATATTTATTTTTTAAAAACCCCAAACCCCAGTGAGGAACAAAAGGCACACAAGCTTTCAGAGACAAGTCAGCTTCCAAAGACCTCAGCAAGATCAAGATTCCTCACAACACTACTGCGAGAATTTTGCATTAAATGGCCAAGTGGTCAAACATGGATATATTTGGAAATAGGCGAAAATTTCAACAAGGTTATTTAGGAATAGGAATATATATTGAAAGGCACAGCCAGCACTTTGAGCCAAATTTCCAGTACATGTCAAGATGCTTAGAATGCTTAACTTTCCATCTTGTCTCTGAGACTCTACTTGGAATTAAACTATGAAGAAAATATGTTGAAGTGTTTCATATGTTGAAAATCTATTTTGAATTAGGTCTCCTTCAGGTTCTTACAATTTATGTTAATTGTGAATTACTAGTAAGGGAAGGGGGAAAAGACAAAAAAAAAAATAAAAATCATACCCTATCTTCTAAACCATGCCAAGATGCCTTGAGCCAAATTCGTCACAAGAGAATCACAAACAAAGTCATTAAAAAAGCCTGGATATTTTCTGAATTTATCAAACTAGTGAAAAGGAATAGTTCTCACTCATTTTTAGAGTTGCAGAGCTGTATCAGAAATAATATTCTAAACAACAGCTATGTCTGAGCCTACACAAATGTCGAAAACCATTAGAGGAGATAAGGATTTCATAAAAGGATGAACGAGGAACAGAGTTTGTGGCTTGCTTTAAGCAAGATGGCTCTGAAGTTGAACTGTAAAGCCATCATATAATTTATAAACACAATGACCAACTGTTATTGTTTTTTTATAAACATTTTTCTTCCCCCCCCAAATTCATTTTGTCACTCTATACCCTCGGTAGCACCTGCAGTCACAGCATCAGAGATCCCCTAAGGCTTCCACGTCCCCAACAGCAACCCAGCAAACCCATGCTCTAGCGCACTGCCTGAAAAGCCAGTACCTTGGAGACATAATGAAAACTTACCGTGTAACTCCAGCCCTTGTGGTTTGCTGATGATGGCTGAATTCACCAAATAATAGCCAAAGTATTTTCCCAGAGTATGCATTCAGTTAAAAAAAAAAAAAAGCATCACACGAGTTGCCAGCTTAATACTTCCAAACCAATTATAACCTGCCTTTTTCATTTCTCACTTATTTTTTTTTTTCTTTTTTGGTATCTTGTTTTCAATTTGTTGTTCAGATTGTTAATCAAAATTTTGGGATATGCCTAGCAATTTCCTATTTGAACTCCAAATCATAGCATGAAGCCTAGACACTTAAACTAATGCTCAGTACTTTAACATGACCTTGAAAGAAGACTTGCCTAGACACTGAGAATCACAGACTGTTTAATAGATGGTGTTTAGATATTTATTTTTATCTTAAACATTGACAAATCATCCTGGAGCCACATTGACAAGCAAGAACTCCTAAACACTAGGTATCTTGTGACCCTAGATTATGCAAGAGAGATCGATCTGCTCAGTATGTGTGGCACTGGCTGATGCAGCCAACCAGAGTAATAAAAGGAGTAATAAAAAATAAAACTCATTAGAGAACATCTCTGCTGGACAACAGGCTGCTCAGAGGATACCTGACTCTAGAAAAGGGGCTTTTGAAACTACCTCAGCACCGCTACAGGAAAGGAGACTGGAACAGGGGTTCTGCCATTCCTACTCCATACTGTGAGCAAGGCAACAAGAAGTGAAAAGGCAGAGGCTTATTGCAGGCTTGGTGTGCAAAGTCTACCAAATGGAAACCAGTAAGGTCTTTCTCAGAAGGACAGCACAACAGTACTTTCCACCCCAGCCAGAACAGGGAAGGAGGAAAGTTTTCAAAACAGCAGTTCTCTTGCACATGGGGCTGACTTTCCAGCTGTTGCCCTCTCCAGCCTTGGTGATCCCTCCAAGACCCACCTGGATAAAGCCCAGAGTGACTCTGCCTCAACCAGGAGGTCAGATCAGAGATCTCCTGAGGTCCATCCCAGCCTGAATCATCCAGCGATTCTCAGTATTCCTGGTTTATCACTGTGCCCAGGCACAAATACGGAATTCTCCTTTAAGACTATCCTTGGTACTTTCATTTCAACAGATGAAAAAAAAATATGTTCAAACTATTTGTATATAAATGTGAACGATTTGTGATGAAAGTGTGCTCCATGCAGAACTGTGCTGTAACTATGGCAACTTCCATGAGAGAGACATCCATTGTAAATCTAAAAGGATCTCATTTTGAAGAGATTTAGTTGTACTAGTCATCAATTTATGAATATTCCAATCATGTAAAAAACACCCCAGTTTCTTACAGAATTGCTTTTAAACAGTGCAGCTATGTGAATGAGAATGCCATCACCAGCATTTACATTGAATAGTTTCTAAATTTTATTTTACGATTCTTTTGCAACTTAGGAGTTGCAAAAATATTTTGGAGGCTACACTGGGATTATTTGGTTATAAAATCATTGTAGCCTTACTTAGCCACGTTTCAGGCATTCCACTCTTCTTTGCCCTATTATATTTTTCATGTACAGGTGACTAGTCAGTTTGTCTTGCTTTAAATACCTTCATGTTGAACCCAGCTTCTCATGGGAGGAGAAATTCAGAAATAAAGGATGGTTCCTCCCTCTTAGTACTCTGGCTCTGAGCTCTCCTTAAAATCGTTAGCTATCTGCAGCCTCTCACCTAAGGCAATGCTGGACCAGTACTCCTTTGTGGTTTCTGTCCATCTTGTAACCCTTCTCAGTAAAACACTGGCCTTCCTTTCTCACTAAATTTTAGTAAATTCTCACGTGCCAGACTTATTTCCAAGGCATCAAACTCAGTGTTGAAGTTTAGGGCAGTTACTTTGTGCCTTGCTGACTGGCAGATCCACCTACTTACAGTCACAATTTAGGGTATGTAGAAATATGTCCTTAAAGAAGAGATTCAAAATAAATTTCCACAGGTCCTCCTGCAGGCCTGGATTTTCATTTTGATGTGATACATAAATTTAGTGTTTAATACAGGAATTGTAATGTATCACTGAGCAAAAACAAAAGCGAAGGACTTCCACTACTGTCCTATTAAATCTGTCCAGTGGAAGACTACTCAACTCTTCAGAGATGTTAATTTTGAACAACCTCTTATGAGCAAATCTAGGCACGTTAATTTAACGTACTTACCCACTTCTACACTTTCCTTCTCAACAAGAAAAAATGCTGTTTGTACAGCCAGAATACTCAATCCAACCTCCCTTTTGTGTTATTTCAGCACTGATGCATCTAAGTATTTACTCATGTCATGAACATTTTCATATCTCTTTAACAAAACAGATCAGGCTAAGGGAACTTTCATGTTATCAGCTGCATCTTGCAGCCCAGATAATTCAGCTCTTATGTTAACCCTGCCTGTAGGTTACAAGTCTGTTGGATAGCATCATGGAAAAGGAAGAAACGTCATAAATTTTGAAGGTGGTTATTTTCTTCAGTTTGCCAGGGGGCTAAAAGCAATTAGTTGCATCTCATTAAAATGCCTGTCTTTTAAAGAACATATACTTGTCAGATTTTCTCATTTATCTTCTATTTAGTTCAATAGTTTCAGGACCGTGAGTTGTATTTGAAACTTCACCTACACCTCATTTTTTAAGCTAAAAACAAAAGCGTTCTCCTACTGTGACCCTACTTTTCTAACGAGGTTATTCATTTTGGAAGAGAGCAGTATGAGACTTTGGGCATCTTTTTTCCCCTTCTTTTCCTCCAAGTTAACATAGGAAAGTGAAGATGAAGATTTTAAAGCTGTAACATACGTGGTGTGTGCTATGCCCAAAGAATGAGTACATATAAATGCACCTGTGGTAGTGGCTTCGGTCAGGGTCTCATTGAAGTTTGTATGAGCAAACTTTCAAAAATGTTCTCCAGTTCTTCTCTTTCCATTTTACCACTTTAGGGGATTATTTTTCACAAACACAGAGCACTTCCCACAGCAATTCCCCCTTACCAGAACTGCTGCTCAGATGCAGGTTGGCGTTGTTCTCCACCGTATGTGGAGCTGAACCAAAGAGAAAGACTGAAAGGGACTGAAGTGTGGTGGGATGTGTGTACCTGCTTTAAGGTACATGTTAGACCTCATGTGGTTAGTTCGAGTGTCTTTGGAACATTCATCCCTTTGGAACGTGCACGCATTTTCCAGTGCTCCTGCAATAAAGGAAGGTCTGTCTTGCTGTATGTCATTCCTTCTTCTGTTCATATAGAAATAGAAAGCGAAAGGTGTACCCAGTTTGCAGATTGAAAGAATTCTCACTTCAATCCAGATATGGTGGCATACACTAGTTATGAACTGGGGTTCTGTTTTCCATAAACTCAATACTTAAGTTTCTGAGAGCAACCCGTTCTTCTGCAGAGATAGGAACCATTTTGTTTTGAGTGTGGTTCATAGCACTCACATGCAGTGTTTCCTCACGGAAACCTCAACTTCTGTTTCTTTCACAGTGTTAATAAAAGCCAGATCAAAAATACATGACTGCCTTTTGTTACGGAAAACACAACAGTAATGCTGTTAAATTCAGCAGTGTGAGCAGACTGGATTGCAGCTGGTTAACTAAGCTGTAAAGCTGAGGGACAGAAGTAATCCCCTGTGCTCTACTGTCACCAGTCAAGCCAAGAAAGTACAAAATTTTCTGGAAGAAAAAAAGTTTTGAGCTGTACTTTTAAAAACCTTCTAGACGTGACCCTTTTTTTTTTTTTTCTTTTTTGTTTAATTTCCTCTTCCAGACTCTCCATATAAATGTATTCAGATATATGCATCCGCTTTGCTACCTCACATCGACCAGTTTGCTGCTATATCTCATAATGCTGGGCAGGAGGTGGAGCTGATCTGGCCGCATCAGTTTCATGAGGCTGCTCGTTTGCTGAAAGGCAGCAACCATAGCAGACAGTAGCATGAAATATTTAATTGGATACCTTATCGTGGCTATTGTCAGAGACAGATTAGGGATAAGCAGAGTATACCAAAGCCTTCAAAGCCAGCACCTACAGTAACGTGATTACATCAGAATCTCAGATTTGCTAATAGGAAAACAAGGCAGTATTTCCAGCCCTCAATTATGAAAAAAGCCGGAAAGCCTGAAGGCATCTCTGTCATGGTGCTGAAATACACTAAAAACCCCAGGCTGCCTTAATTCAGACCTGGGAGTCATGCCCATCTTTACTACCTAATTAATTGTAAAGATGAGCTTGCAGGAAGTGCAATTATGTGTCCTTTCTGCTGGGTTTCAAGGTATTTGGCAAAGAGATAGGCAAATTTTTTATTTGCTGAGCAGGAAATTCGTAACTCATTATAACCTCAGGAAGCTAAAAGTATTTTCAAAATTGGCAAATAATTTCAGACAAAGAAAGCAGAGAATTTTACAAGAATGTTCCACATTTGAATGTAGCTCTCTTCAAAATAATATTATCCATTCGAAAGTAGACTAAAAAGACAACAGATTTAGAAGAAAAATATTATTTTCAAATGTAATACTTCTTTTGGTCCACAAACATCTTTGAGTTTTGGGAATATCTACAAAGAATTTCGCATTTTTTCATTTCCAACATGTCTGTACTTCCCCTCTTTCAGAAATATTTGCAAGTACTTCATAGTTGTAGGAAAAGAAATAAATTGAAAACATGTTTTCTTAATTCTGGTATCTGAAAACAGCATTGATTTCGTAATGCTTACCTCTAACCTCTCTGCAAAGCACCTTCCCGAATTGGTCATGTCTTCTGGTCTTTGGCTGAATACATAAGGAGATCACTACTACAGGGACAAGGATGGAAATTATTTTCAATGACAGCGTTGTGATGTAAATTCATTCACACAGTTTCAAGAAATGCCTAAAAATGTTGAGGGAAACACAACGCTGATGAAGCACTTACATAGAAAATCTAAATTAATCTTGGGGGTTTTTGAAGTATTCATTAAAACATATCAGAATGCCAAGCATTTTTCATCCACAAAGACAACTATGTCTTACTACAGATTTCATTACAAATTTTCAGTAAAGAAACATGGTCATACAACTTAATATAAACCGTGTACTGTTATTTTGGTCCAATTTACACCATTTAAAGGAAATTTAACAAAATTATTTTCTGAAATATCAAAAGCAAGCAGAAAGAATAACTCTGTATTTGAACAATTTCTATATAATTACAATATAAAAATGTACAGGACTGTTCCAAAGATGAGGAAACAACTACTCATTGGTTAGAGACTTTCCAAAGCTTTTACATTCATATTTCCACTAAAAATAAAGGAAGAATTCTGAGTACTTTGAACAATGATTTTTCTTGGTACAGCATAAGCATAGAAATGTTTGGGGTTGTTGAAAGCAAATTAAGACTGGTTCTTCTATTCTTGAATGCAGGAATGTATTCAAATGTCTGTTCTTTCAACCTTCTATTTGTCTGTCACCAATATGGTCTTTTTATGAAAAAATGCAAAGGACACCTTCATTCAGTGTCATGGTAAATAAAAGCAGAAGTATAAGGGGTAAAAAAAACTTGCTTGGTATATCTGAAAAGTGGTAAAAAGTGCTGAAATAAAATTCGGTGATCTCCATCTACTCATGCTTGTTCTCCATGAATATATGAATTGGTTATATCTAAAATTTTCGTGTTAGTGTCACTTTAAAGAACACAATCTGCAGAATCTGCAGTTTTCCTCCAAGAAATCTGAGTAGAAGTGGCCCAAACACAGACACATCACTGGTTTTCAGGCCTCAGACACCTTAAGAATCTCAGAAGCAAGACAAAACACCCAACATCCACTCATAAAAGTGGGAATACTGTGTTGATTAGTAGTACTAGTATGGTGAAATAGAAATCCTAGAAAAAAAAAAGACTTTGATTCTCCTGTTTTCTTATACAAAGCAATTTAATACCAGTAAAAAAAGGAGTTCGCATTCTTAGTTTTCAGCCCTTCATTAATGATTCTTTTTCTTTTTCTCTCTCCCCCTTGTGAGTAGGGTACCGCTTTAATGTTAACATGCACAGCATGATGATTTCATTAAATGATTTGCCAAGACCTCATGCATAATCACCTCATTGAAAAATAATGAATAGTCATTTATGTCCTGTCAATTAGTAATGTACAATAATAAGGGCTGATACTGGTTTAACCCTTATACCGTACTTGAGATGGTGAATGCAACATGGTGGAACGATGCTTTGGAAAAAGTAGATAGACTACCCAGGACATACTCAGAGAAGGTATTTTGGCCATTACGCATTAACTATATATGAACACTTAATTAAGAACGCAGTCCTTTGTTATATATCACTTGTACATCATTAACAGATTGAAATTTGGGTTTTATTTTATTTATTGATGACATGTAATTGCCACCAGGCTTCTGTCTGCTCACCTGCTTTTAGATTCGTTATGACATTTGAGATTTGTAAGATCTTACTTATCCTGGGAGAGAGATAATAACACTGCATTTGTACAAAAAGGATAGATTGCTTTTTTCTTTGTATAGTATAATTTTCTGTTAATATAATGGTAATGAGCCTTTAACTGATACAGTCTACAAAAATCTTTGAAAATCTCAAGAAATGGTTTAATACTATGAGAAAGAATAAAAAAGACAAATGAGTGCTTCCTGTGGTTGAGGTTTAGCATGTCTGATGATGCTAGCCTTAAGAAAGAATATGTCAGTACAGTAAATATGACTGTCTTCAATAAGCAAAAGGTTATTTTCTTGACAAGGAAAAAGGATAACTATTTTGAAAAAATCTGAAAACAACAAATAGAAACTTAGCTTGATCTAGCTGACTAACCCAAAGACCAGCCCACAACTTGTAGCCGCTGCATGAGTGAACACTTGGTACTGCTACTCAGGGTTTAAGGGCAACTTTTCGGCAGCAATGTAAGACCAAGGATGTACCGAGTCTCAAGGGATGCCAGTCAATATTAAACAGCTCTCAGCTTTTTTTTTTTTTTTCCTGTAGGTTGAGGAGAGATCCAAAATGCTTTTGATGGATTCAGAGACTGTTTCATATGATATTTTATTAACTTCTGCAAACTGTATGAAAACAATTCAAAATATCTCTTAGATAAAACAGCCTCAGCAAGAGCTAAAGCGATTCAGCAATATCCCATATGGTACCTCATATGTCACAAAACCTGCCTGGATCTTGAAAGTTAAGGTAATTTTTTTTTTCCCTCTAGGACTTAAATCTGCATTACAACAAATCAAACACAAATATGCTCTCCTTCCTGATTCTCCACCTTGGAAAATGCTATTTTTATGTTGCTTTATGCTTACAACACTGTGAAAGGAATTTAATACTTATCTTCCAATGACAACTGCTTAGGGTCTTGAAACTCTCTTGATATTTGCAGGCATGAACCACTACGGAACTTGGCTTATGAATAATTAAGTACATAAAGATCTAGTTTCTCTTGCAAATGGAGATAAACAGCATCATCTCAAAACACCTCAAAATACACTCTCCCTTGCTGGCCTAAAGTCTGAGATACAGATTCCAAGCAGAAGATTTAGGACAACCCTAGTTTGCCACTGATTGCCAACATATATTTTTTCTTGCATTTACAGTTTATTCTTTGTGCTATCTCTAATGGCCTTTTGGAGAGAAAGATGGTAACATAGCTCTCAACTTGCTAAAGCATGAATGAGGAATAGCAAAATTTAATGTGGGATATGTGAAGCCATATGGAATTCTTTTTATAGCATAAACAGCTCTTTTTACAGCCTTTCTTGTGAGATCTCTTATTTAATAACTTTCAGTATTCAAAATGAGAGGACAACAAAACTCTATGGCAATCAGGCAACTCTGGCACAAAAACAACTGCTGTTTCTGTAAATGGTGGGCACTGAGATGCATGACTAGAAATGACTCTGTATTTGACATTACTGGCACCTGATGCATTAAACTGTCACCTTTTCTTGGCAACCAGGTGCCCCAAAATATAAGACTACACTACAGTATATTATGCAAAGTCACAAATGAGAAAACAATTTTATGCATTGGTATATTGCAGATGGGAGGTAGCTGACACGGCAACCAATGCCTTAGGTCCAGGATTTTTACTTTCCATCTACAACTTTGAAGTGCATGGAAACTGATGAACAAAATTAGTACTGGTTATGACTGAAAACAAAAGATCATGAAAGTGACCATTTCCAACAAACTTTCTTCTGTGCCTCATAAAATCGGACCAATACCATGCAAAGGCATTGCTGAGCCATTAAATGGATAAATGGGGAAATGGAATACCTGAAGAAGAGGTTGCCAAAGCAACTCCACGTAATAGGCATGCAAAGAACATTAACGAAGAGCTTCATGTTTTGATATAAACCTCATAATTGGACTGAGAACATACTGATATTATTACCTGGGAAACTGACGAACTTAACTATTAGCAGCTTCTTATTGGCAAGAAACATATCCAAATATAACAGCAACACCTAAACACAGTATTTACTGAAACTCAAAAAACCTTGTATGTTAAAATGTTAAAGTTAACTACACCATCAGCTGAAGCCTTTCATAAAATGGTATAATCCCCTTATGATCATCCCACTCTTGCTTCTCCACACAACATGGTGTTATCCCCTGCAGCTTTTTCTCAGTCCATCCTGACACATCAGCTGCTGTGCAGTATAAGTTGAATTAGTTGAATTTTCACAACTCTACTGGCATCAAACTGTATTTTGCTCTACTAGTCTGTTATAGTGGCAAGGGAGCTGATAATTACTGAGATCACAAGGGCACCATCTAAAAACACTGTCACCTTCCAACTCAGTGGCACAAATACACTTGTCCTACGCGAAGAGCAGAAAGCTTACTAACTATGCCAAAATTCACTTAAGGAAAGAATTTCATGTCTATGTGCAGAACAATTGCTATTTCTGAGGAGATACTAGTTACTTAAACATGATATTTTTAGAAAGCATAGCAGATTGACCTAAGTAATTATGCCATTATTCACACATCTTTAACAGATCTGCCTTCAGCATCATTTTTAATGCAGGCAATTACACAACTACTATTTTCCCTGTGGGTAGCAGGACTGGCCATTAACTCAGAGACATTCCAATGACTCCTGTTCAAAGTAACATTCATTCTGTAATCTCCACAGTCAGTCTCTCCAGTCCCCAATTTCTTAGGCTCATCTTCTAGGTAGGCATATGCATTTTCTGTCTGTCATTTGTCTGGGTGTTCTTTAATAGTGTTTCCCTCACCTTGTTTTTGATCACAAAAATGAGAGTACTGGACTTCTATAGATGATATGTTTTGGCTAGGCTAATCAGGATAGCTGGTAAGACAGCCCGCTTCTACTTAGTCAACCTGCCTGCCACAGAAAGCTACACATCAGACTGATAGACCTTCTCGTGTTGAAAGAAAAACGACCAGCTAATTTAAGAGATATGGTGTTAATAAGGCTACCAAGAATCACTGACTGATTGGTAAGGGAAGGGACAACTCTCAACAGAGCTGTTACTTTGCCCATTATACGAATGAAGCCATCCTATAGAGTTTTGTGACAGCAGGCTCTGATTCAACAGTTCTGTCAGTTTTGGTTTTCTCAGCTGGTCTCTAAGTGGGCTACTTCACACCTGTCCTGAACAAGAGCCCTGGTGAAGAAGAAAACAGGGAAACAGCTGGCCATTTGAAAAGATGTGTATGAATAACAAGTCTGCATTATTCCAGCATGACTAGATTCTCTCTGCCCTGAAAATTTCCCACCTAATCGATCACCTTGCTGCTGATAGTTTTTCTAACCGTTCT